ATATGCATGCTAGCTAAGTTTTAAGTCTAGATGTAATATATGTTGGATAAAACCTTTAACCTTTGTGTAATACTAAATCATACATGATTATGACTTAGTTATATATATATATATATATATATATATATATATATATATATATATATATATATATATATATATATATATATATATGCGGATTCCAAATGAAGTACATAAGTTTTACTCTTTTATATGCATAAGTTTCAAAGTCTCGACCTATTGTATGATGGATAATACTATAACACATTGGATAACCGCAAACTGACATTTTTACCAAAAATCTAGATTGGATAGATTAAAACTTTGTGATTACACATTGGATACAACGATTATCCCTTGAATAATATCATTATCCATTGGATAATACTATTACACATTGGGTAACCAACACAACACTTTGATCACTACCCTGTACATGGAAAACTTTGATTTCATTTACAACTAGAATAACATACTTTCGACGGGTTATGTGAGACTTTTTCGTCAACCAGTACATTAAATCTCGGCCTTATAATCGTTAAATCTTAAATGAGCGGGAGAGTTGTGTATATATCTATATGGGATTGACAACCCCCACTTATGGTTTCTAGCTACAACCACGACCGACGAGTCAAGGGTGACAAGTGTCTTAACATTTTCACGACGTCCGAAGAAGCGTTGTGGCGGGTAGCATTACAGTCGATTGCTCGATTATAAGGGCTCACTATAACATCGAATAGTGAAATTCTAGTACACTACATTTATAAGTATGGTTATTTACTTATACACTACATTTGTAAGTATAGTTATTTACTTATACACTTGATTTTGGATAATAAAATCACATGACAAGCCACACTTTTTATAAGTTTTAGAAGTTATGGGAACTTCTGTTTTATAAATACTTTTGAATATATACTACACACATACATTCTTCTTTTACGCTGAAGGCGTACAAATATAAAACTCTTAAACATATGGAAAACATCATATTTTTCTACAACTAAACTCTTATGAAGTCACTAACTTTATGTTGACTTTTAAAACGGCATGTAACCTCAGAAAACAATTAAGCTCGGATCAATGGAACCACTTTTGAAGACAAGACACCAAATATCATTGCTTGAACTTTGTGATATTTGTAAGGGAAATACTTTATTTGATAACATGCAAAACTTGTAATGTATTTTAATATCAATTAACATTTTGGTCATGTAACTTATCTAATCATATGGTATGATGGTTGTTTATGTACTTGTGTTTCAATGTATTCAATTAATATGATATTGTGCTCTCGTTCCACACTCAAACGTTTCCACCATATGGTTTGGGGGTGTGATACGAATATTAAGATATTTGGCAGAACTTTAGACACATGTCGGACTCTAGGAAGGCACGTGAATCGTGATGCAACCTAAGGGTTGACGCGATGCGACGTCTCTAGCCTATATATATATATATATATATATATATATATATATATATATATATATATGTGTGTGTGTGTGTGTGTGTGTTTGTGTGTGTGTGTGTGTGATTTGTGCATTGAGAAATGACTTTTGTCCGGGGAAAAGAAAATTTTGGTATAATGTTCTTACGAGAATATTGTTTAAAGGTTCCTACAATAACAGTTTTATGTGGCTTTGTCAGGAAGGGGTTACTTTCTAACAAAGAGATATATCGGAATGTAGATAGCTCTGTTAGGAGGGTGTACTTCCAGCAATGATGAGTAGTCTGTTGAAAGGGTTACTTCCAACTGTGATGAGTAGTCTGTAGGAAGGGTTACTTCCAACGGTGATGAATGATATGTTGGAAGGGGTTACTTCTAATGGTGATGAGTGGTCTGTTGGAAGGGGTTACTTCCAACGGTGATGACTGGTTAGTGTTGAAAGGGGTTACATCCAACGGCAATGAGTAGGTGATGAGTGGTATGTTGGAAGTTGTTACTTTTAACGGTGATGAGTAGGTGATGGGTAGTTTGTTGGACGGGGTTGCTTTCAGTGGTGACAAATAATTCGTTGAAATGGATTATTCTAATAATGATTAGTATTTGATTGGAAGAGTTACTTCCAACAATAAATTGTATTTTACTAAAAGAGGTTACTTCTAGTAATGGATAGTGTCTTGTTGGAAGGGCTATTTCCAATAGACTGTAATATTCTTATTATGAAGAATAATTGGAAAGGGTTGACGTCATTCCCAATACATTAAGATGGAATATGGCATTTAGAGTAATGTGATATTCCATAGAAGAGTATGATTTAGTCATGGTGGTCATTAATTGTAAAGAAATTTCGTCGGGTAGATGGAATATGGAATTAGATGATTCCAATGAAAAGACATGATTGAAGAATATTACATGTCATTCCTACGGGAATGTGAATACGAAATGGATATGAGAATCCTACCACAATATTCCTGTGGGAATATTGTTATGTGGTTACAGTATGAACCTTGTAATAGGTTTCCTTTGGGAAACATCGTTAAGTATTTCCTTTCGGAAACATTGTAAAAGTCTCCTTGAGGGGATATTAGACTAACTGATAGGATGAAATCCCTATGTGTGCAATTTATGTACGAATTTTATGTTTTGCAACACCAATGAGTTGTAAACTTTGATTAAACTTGTAAAGGTTTTTGTAAAATCAGATGTTAACAAGACTACGAGTCATGACAGTTGTACAACCAAAGTGATAATTTTGATTGATAAAAGTTAGGGTGTTACAACTCAAGCTCTCAAAACGTGATTAGGACGAAATGGGAGGGAGAATGATAGCTTGGGGTCTTATTTCAAGTCCCTCTTATCTCACATTAGCCACATAACTTCTGGTTCTTGCAAACCGACCAGGATCTCCTAAGTCTTGCAACTAGACATTGATTATATATAAATTTAGTCATTCCCCACCATTTTTATTACTTATTGGTCCCAAGTCTTACTTAAGTGAATCAACTCTTAGTCAAACTCAATTTTCTTTAATTTTGCGAATTTAGCTTTTATTTACTACTGTATTAAATTTAACTTTTATCTCCTCGATTTATATATTTACTAATAATATTATTTTTTTTATTATTTTTACTATTTGTTTATTTATTTATTTTTACTTAATTAGTTAAAGTGAAATTTTCTAACCAAAAAATAGGATGTTACAACAACAACCACTCAACGTTCCATTTGGCAGCCCCATTTTTTTTTTTGCCTCGGGTTAGCCCCTTAGCCCCTTACAGGCCTTGCGTTTGTCGTGGTATCCCAACCTCAACATTCCCTCAAATCAGTTATAACTTTATTCGAGGACCTAAAAATAGTAGTGGGTTACGACGCTTACGATCCATCAACAAACTTATGTTGTGTCCCAGTCAGCTTTCTCAACCCACTTACGTAATTTTGGTCTCAAGTTCCGGTTCAACAATAATTTCCAGCCTGATATTCATTTGACGGTCATGTAAAAGCTCAACACAATACACCGAGTTGGCTTCGTCTTCCAAGTTATGTCTATTTAACAACCTCAACACAACAACTACCACACTGAATCCAATAAAAGCTCACATGTGTCCTCTTTCTACATATTGGTGTCTTACACGATGCTGACGGGTTGGCCTCAGACTTTCTGGTCTACTTATGGTTATGTGTGTTTTTCTAGGTGACAAATTTGTACTGTAGTCTTCCAAATGTCATCATGTTGTCTTCCGGTCCATCGCCAAAGTTAAGTATTAGGGGTAGACAATATAGTTGTGGAAGCTACCATGTTTTACAACCTGCTTCTTGAGTTATCATGTCCTCTATCTCATACGATCAGGGACAGATGCAAGAATTTACAGCAATAGTGACACAAACAAAAAAAAATGTTTTTTTTAACACTTATAAGCTGAAATCGAGTACCGGCCTAGGACCCCCCGAGAAACCCCCTAGATCCGCCATTGCATACAATAGTTGTTCTTTGTGATAATTTCAGTGCCATGTACTTTGTTTCTAACCTGGTTTAGCACAAAAGAACCAATATGTGGAAATAGATTTACATAGAGAACGCATTGCGGATTGGACATATGCGCTTCTTGCATGTTCCATCAGCTCTTCAGTTTGTAGATATATTTACAAAGGGTTTATCAAGATAGTTATTTTTAGACTTCGGAAACAGTTTGAGTATACAAGAACGTCCAACCGAGATGTTATATTAGAATATTTATCATATAATCTCTTCTTGTTCTTTATAGTATATAGACCCCTTTGTTATATCCTGTATTATATATAATTCTTTTGAGCAATACATCATAAACTTTAACATGGATTTTCCACTATCCAAATGGTTTAAAAAAACTCTGATTGAAAACACACCCACAAAACCAATTAAAGTTGTGCATAAAAATTACATTTTTTAATGAGTATGTTGAGTATAAAAAAAATTACGTTTTTAAATATATATATTTTTTTTGTTACAATTAAAGGTGTGCATAAAAACTGGTTTAAAAGAACTGGGTTTGAGAAAATCTGAATCGATTATAATCTAACTGGACAATAACTTAAATTAGTTATAATATGGTTGTTGGAACCAGATAAGAAAAACCACTTTAAAAACCTAATCACAAAACCAATTTAAGCAACTAGCCGTTGGAATTCATTTTTTTTTTTTCTGTATATCTCTAACGGCTTTATATCGTTTATGGCCGTTCTTAGGTCAAAAACCCTTTTGCCCCTCCTTTGGTTAGCATAGATATCGGCCCATAACCATCTTTCCGAGTAAAGAGATTATTCTGTTATGTTGTTCCAAAGCTGGTTGTATTAGAGCTCTATGAACTTGAACAACTAACGCTTTGAAGGACATTCACATTACAAATGATCTATAGACACGTGGACATGGAGAGGCGATCATTGTCATCTTCACGTCACTCAACTGTACAAAATCATTAAATGGGGCAACACTGACTTTCATATTTTTGAAGTTTATGGATCAAAATAAATCAATTTAAAATAAACACAATCAGCTCAAAAAAAAAAAAAATAAAAAAAAAAAATACAACAGATCCCCTCTGAGCATCAACCATCCTAGAAGCCCTCCGTTAGTGCAAAAACACGGCCCGCCAATGGTGCACTCAATGCAGCAACAGCTTTTTCAATCACCTAAATATTCATTCATTCATTCAACCACATCTCACCTCAGTTTCTATCTTTATTTTTTATTATTATGAAGAGAAAGGCATTCACGTCTTTTTACACAGACAAAAGATCAACCCCCAGTCCCAAGAACAAAAAAGTAGAATTTTTTGTCCTACTCATATTACACAGTACAACTTGTTATGTTATGTTGTGTACTGCATAGATATTAACAAAGACTGTTTCTTTTTTGAACTGGAAAAATGACCATTTTACCCTTATGTGTATGGACAAATTAATAAAAAGGGGCTCATGGTAAAGTCGTAAAACTTACATCCAAGTGATACCGAGCTGAAAAGTGGATCAATACAATTGCTTTGTTCTCAAATCTTTCAGCCTGACTGATTATCTGATTTACCACAACAATCAAAAGTCAAAAGTCAAAAAAAAAAAAAAAAAAAAAATGAAACTTAATATTGACAATAAGTAGATATTATCTACAAAAAAAAACAAGATTTGACCTCAGATAAATGTGTGTGTCCATAGTCTCTTGCATTCTCCACTGACATTGTATTCTCTACATAAGTACTCTAAACATGAAGAAAACAAACACGCGAATTAAAATTACAAAAATAATAATAATAATAATAATAATAAAATAAGATTTTCTTGCCTCCATAATGAGAATCTTTGCTTTTAATGCATCAAGATTGTGAGGATCAAGTATGAAGTCGGATGTAGTATCCCCTGTAAAAGCTACTTCAGGTGATGTTGTTGTATTTGTTATCTGTCAAAAATAAGAAATTATTATGTTTTTACTATTTGATTTATTTCATGTATCTATGTCAATTACTCAATTATAAATTAAAATATATAATTTGAAAGACAAAGACAAACCTCCACACCTGAAAACTTCAATTTCTTGATTTCTTCCCCTTGAAGTCCAACATATTCAGGTTTAAGCTTATGTTTCACAGAATAAATTATATAACCCTGAAATGAGTCACAAACTTGAGGTAATTAATATCTAACAATATCATATAACTTTAATGATAATAAAGTTGATAGTATTTAAATTTTAAAAGTCCTTTTGTTGTGTAAAAAAACAGTGATATAACAAATTGCTTTACACCAAACTTTCCTTTGTACCAATATGGTCCTTCAACTTTAGATATTTTTTATTAAGTATTTGTAAAGTATTTTTTTATATACAATATTTGTTGCTTGTGATATTATATTATAAATTCATTTGTAATATTTGTTAGGGGTTTTATGCAGAAAAGTCTCATTATTTTGGGAAATTTTTTTATAAAGTCCTAGATTTTTTATTTTTGAACAGAAAAGTCGTGATTATTTAATATTTTGCCCAAATAACGAAAAAGTCAAAATTTTTATTTTAACAGGAAATGACAGATTATCGTGTAAAATTAAATAATCGGGATTTTTCTGTTCAAAAAAAATTTAGGACTTTATCAAAAAAATTCCCAAAATAATGAGACTTTTCTGCATACAACCGTATTTTTATTAGACGTGTGTTAAATGTAATATATTTAATTGATAAATGGTTTTTTTAGTGATAAGATAATTAATTTAAAACTAATTATACACGAATATAATCTATGTAATATAATAATTTAAAGGTTATTGCAATATAAAAGATGTGATTCGAATTTGTAAAAACCAAATAACATATAATGGTTATTTACTTATTTTCTAACTTTTTAGCATTAAAAAATGGCATCTTAGCAAAATGAGTAAAGAAAACTAACCTGACTTGGGATGACATGGCATGTCTTAAATGCTTTTACTTTCAAATCTTTTCTCAAGTAGAACTCTTCCCCTGAGATACAAAGATATTGTTGTATCAATTTTGATTTAAGTATTTAACATTGACTGAAATTAGTAAAAATAAAGTGATTTTTTTTACCAATATCTAATCCAATCAATGTATGCTTCAACTCTGATTGATCCATGGCTCTATGTGCTTCAAAGATCTTTTCAACATTTTCTTTAATGACTTTTGGTATAATAATTGTAGGTGGAGCCATTCTGTATAAACCACGAGTTGCAACATACATAGGCAATCCTCCCTAAAAGAAAAAATAAACTTTCAACTTTTTATAATAATATTCAAGAAGAAAAAATACTAACAATATAAAACAGAGAGAGAGAGAGAGAGAGAGAGAGAGAGAGAGTGTGTTACATACAATGTGATCCATGTGACCATGAGAGATGAAGAGGAATTGTTGAGAAATGGCTCTTTGAGGGCACTTTCCAATATCAAAGGCTAAATTAAAACTAGGGAGAATTATACAAGTTTCATGTCCAGCTATTGATAAACCTTCAATTGGGTATCCTTCAATATTTAAACCTTGTTTCTTCTTTGTTTCCATTATTATCAAACTGAAGATTCTGGAGAAAAGGGACAATGAAAAGCTTTGGTGCTCTTGTTTCACTTCTGATTGTAATAAGCTTACACCTGTAAGTATGCGAAACAGGATCACTAATGTTCTTGAAATAAACTCGAAATAAAACATCAAGAAGACTAAAAAAATGGTATTCGAGGTTGCAAATTACAGTTTTCTATGCACAGATTTTCAAGTTATTACTCCCACAAAACCGTTTGGATGAGGTACACAACAGAACTTTTTATACACCGTGGTTTCTATCTATAAATTTCATATTTTTTTAATGATATTTGTCTATTTGATCGAGTGGCTCACCATCATCTCTGACATTACATCGAACACTTGGTGGGCGATCACTAAATATACACTTACCCGACATTAGAACTATGCAATGAATCCTCTAATCAAACAACTTTACAGAACACATCAACAAAACAACAAAATAACCTAGCAAAGAACTGCATATGCATTCACTAAACAAACGTGTCTCGTTTTTTTATCACCTGCATATGCACGCACGCATGGGTATGACGTGAGAGAGAGAGAGAGGTACCTATATCGCGGAGGCGGAGACGCCGGAGATGACGAAGACGAAAAAGAAAACGGAGTATGGGAAGGCGAGAGAGTACATGGGGTTCGGACATTAAACCGTGAAAAACCTCTGATGTAACGTGTTATGTGGTCACATCCGTTTTTCCTATCGGATCGGTTCGGATTTGTTATCTGGTTTATCCGATTTTAATACTCCGATGCTAATAATGAAAAAAAATAATAATAATTTAACCAAAAACGCTAAAAGTTGGGCTAGTCTCTTTTCGTTAACATTGGAGGTTTTAAACTAGGGTCCCTTTGAACTAACAACTAATTAGGAAGCTGTGGATTCAATGCTAAGGAGATAAGACAAATAATTATTTGTCATTCCACAAAAAAAAAAAAAACGCTAATAACTTTTGTAAAAAATAGCTAAAAAAACAAAATTTCACAAAAATAACTATTGAAATGGCAGATGTCTATGCCTCATCTATGATTTCCTCGAGCCATTTGCGATTAGGTGGAGTAAATTTGCGATTTTCTCAAACTTATTTGTTATTTCATCATTTATGTTTGCTATTTGCTCCACGCTATAAAAGACTTTTTTTTTTCGAAAATTTTCACTAAATCGTAGATGACTATTTGCACCATCTGCAATTTCCTCTACATCTATCTACAATTTAGGCTCTGAATTCAATTTTTTTTTTTTTTTAAATAATTAGATTTGACTACGAATTCGTTAAGGTTTGAGTGTTTGACTATGAATCTAACAGTGTTGACTATGAGTTCATACAAATTACTAGATTATATATAAAAATTAGCTAAAAAATCTTAGATTATCAGTTATTTATTTTGAAATATTGTTTTTTACATTTGTACTAAAATGAGTGAATATTTGGTCTGCGTTGTAACTGGCGGGAGTTGAGAGTTAGTAGAGAAAAATCTAGAATATGTTTGTCTACATGGAGGAATTTTTGAATTCGCTTTGTAATTTTTGGAGTATATTAGTTTTAGTGATTTTATATCTTTAGTGAAAATGAAAACTAGTTTGTTAGATAGATATAAAGTTGCTCTTCGCTTCCATCATCTTGAATTGCATCATCATTATATAATCATAGTTGTTGACATTGTGTAACGCCCGATTTGTCTAGTAAACTCTTAGCAAAACTATCTTATCTATTTGTTTGACTTGGACCCAAGTACGTTGGGCGTACATATGGTCCGCTGGGCGTACTCCAATGCATGCATGAGGCCGGGTGTTCCCCTGGTATGTTGGGTGTACCCTTACGTACGCATGGCGTACGTAAGTCAGGGGAAAACCCTAATTTTTAGGGTTTACACCCTATTTAAGCACATTAAGTCCCCCAAGTCCTTCACCTTATCAGCCTCCATTGCCTCTTGAGCTATACCTCGAACCTCTAATCCATTTTCCAAAGAGATTGACCTTGTGTGTGTGTTTTGTGTGTGTGTGTGTGGTGTATCTTGAAGAAGAAGAAGACTAGTGGATAAGCATTGGACAAGAGGGAGCTTGTAAATCCAGAGGTTATTCACCCTTTCTAGCTTATTGAAGGTATAAATTTCCTACCTTGATGATTCATCTCTTAGTTCTAGATAGTTTGGGTTTTTGTTTTATTTTGGTCCCTTAAGGTGTTTCTTGAGAGTATAAGCTACTCCAGAAGGTTATGATGATAGATCTTAGTGTTTCTAATGTCCTTTGTGCATAAAAATGGTGTCTTGATGGTTTGAGCTCAACCATGCGAGGGTTGAGGGTTGTTTCATGAAGTTAGTATATTAAAATCCGAGATTTGATCTTTTTAAGCCACACAAAAGCATAAAGTTTGCAACTTTATGGCTTAACACGTTTTAATAAGCTTAGATCTGAAGTTGGACGTTAGGTCTTAAGGAATTAAGACCTTAAAACTAATCTATGGCTAACTATGGCGTATGTCGGGCATACGTGGGTGTACGTTGAGCGTACGCACCTGGAGTCCCAACCTTGTGAAGTATTCGACTACGTCGGGCGTACTGATGGTATGCTTAGCATACTCAACAGAGAGATTTTTGGGCTTTTAGTTTCGGGTAACTTTTGGGCTTAGGGATTTGGGCCCTTGTTGGACCGCAAGCCTTGTTGTGTTGGGCCTTTTTGGACTTAAGGCCCATATTTGGCATGGAATGTCTTTTGGACTTTCGGCTAGATTGGAGTCGGGCCTTGGTATGTTAAGCCCAATAAGGGAAGGGTTAAGCAACCTTTTACCCTGGAAGCCGGAGTTTAGGATTTAGACTCTCGTGTAGGGTTAATGACCTAATTGCTAATTAGGGTTCTATTATTTGTGATTTAGTGAGAGGATTTCACAATTCGACAGCCCGAGTGTGATTTGATATCTTCAGACTGAGGTGAGTTTCCTTCACTATACTCGTGGGTCGAAGGCACCAATACCGGCCCACTAGACGCATACAAAGGGTACCATCAAATCCTCATGATCAAGGAAGACGAGGAGAAGACTGCCTTTTATACAGAACATGGAGCTTTTTGCTACCAAAAAATGTCGTTTGGATTGAAAAACGCAGGCGCAACTTACCATAGATTGGTCGATTCCATTTTCATCAACCAAATTGGCCGAAACATCAAAGTCTACGTGGATGACATGGTCATAAAGAGCCCAGACGAGTAGAGGCTGCTGGAGGACGTTGAAGAAACCCTACGGTGCCTAGAGAAAGTAAAGATGAAACTGAACCCCGAAAAGTGCACCTTCAGGGTAGAAGAAGGACAGTTCTTGGGGTATTACATTACAATAGAAGGAATCCAGTCCAACCCCACCAAGATAACGAAGCTCAAAGAAGTAACATCGCTCCACATGCTAAGAGATGCCCAAGGCCTAAACGGTAAGCTAACGGCGCTGAGCCGCTTCATTTCCAAGTCAGCTGAGAAGGCGATGCCACTATTTGACATGCTTAAAGGTTGCATCGAGAAAAACCACTTCCGTTGGACGCCAGAAGCCAAAGCAGTACTACACCAAATAAAGAAAGCGCTGCACACGCTACAACATTGGCTAGCCCAAATCCTGGCGAGACACTCCAAGTATACTTGTCAGCATCTAACGAAGCCATCTCGTCAGTACTAGTAGTGGAACGACAAGGAAAGCAGCTCCCCATTTACTTTGTTAGTCGAGTGTTGCAAGGACCAGAGCTCAGCTACCCCATCATTGAAAATATAGTACTGACATTGGTGTACGTCGCCCGACGACTGCGACGATATTTCCAAGTGCAAAAAATAGAAGTTCTAACTAGTTGCCCAATTAAACAAGTGCTCCTGAAGCCATAAACCTCAGAGCGCCTCGCAAAATGGGCCATCGAATTGGGAGAACACGATATCAGCTATCACCCTCGAATGAGCATTAAAGGGCAGGAGCTAGCAGATTTTTTACCAGAATTGCCATGAGAAATGCAAAATCAAATAGAAGGGATCACACACAGGGAGCCACAGTACGAAGAAGACGGGCAAGCTTAGACCTTATATACCGATGGGGCCTCCAGCAAAGAAGGATCTGGGGTAGGCCTCATCCTAACTAGCCTCACGGGCGAAGAAGTGACGTACGCCCTACGCTTCGACTTCCACACATCCAACAATGAGGCCGAGTATGAAGCCTTGCTGGCAGGATTAAGGCTCGTAGTAAAGATGGGAGCAGAGAAAGTGACGGCCCTCACCGACTCTAGACTGGCCGCTAACCAAATCACGGGGGAGTTCGAAACAAAGGATTAGAGGATGGAAAAGTATGTGAAAGCTGTTCAGCAAATCACAAGATCACTCAGAAGTTTATCCATTAAACAGATACACAGGGGAAGCAACAGGCGCGCCGACGCCTTGAGTAAGTTAGCATCAACATGTTTTGTCCATCTATCCAAAGAATACTTGTTAGAAGTACTCAAAGAACAAAGCATCGACGAGCGACGGGTCCACTCCTTATCTACAACACAACCCAGTTGGATGACACCCATCATAGACTACTTACAACACGGCGTCCTTCCGGACAACCATGCCGACGCCCGCAAGACGAGAATACGGGCCCCACAGTATGCTATCTTGGGAGGAGTATTATACAGGAAAGGATACACGACCCCATGGCTCAGATGCATAGATAGGGCATTAGGGAGGCAAGCCCTTCACGAAGCTCATGATGGCCCGACAGGACCCCACGAGGGAGCCAAAGCCCTTACAGGGAAAATACTCCGAATGGGACTCTACTGGCCGGACATCCACGAAGACGCCACCAAACTTACTCGCACGTGTGCAGAATGCCAAGCCTTCTTCCCGGTGCAGGGTGTTCCCCCGACGCTGCTAACGAGCATTGTCAGCCCATGGCCGTTCTACCAATGGGGGATCGATATCGTAGGACCATTCCCAGAAGCCCCCGGTAGAATCAAATTCCTAGTCGTAGTTGTGGACTATTTCACAAAGTGGATAGAGGTAGGGTTGTAAACGAACTGAACGTTCAGCGAACTGTTCATGAACCGTTCGGCGGGAAGTTCGTTTACGTTCGTTTATTTAATAAACGAACGAACATGAACACAAATTATCGTTCGTTTAGTTAAACGAACGAACATGAACAATGGTCTCGTTCGTTCAATTATGTTCGTGAACGTTCGTTTATGTTGTCCATTTACGTTCGTTTATGTTCGTTCATATAAGTTCATTTGTTCACATATGTTTAATAGTGTTTGATTACATTAGTGTATTATATGTTAATTTATGTTTATATATCTTCAGTTATGTTTCTTTTTTATCTCTGTTCATTTATGTTTGTTTGTTTATGTTCGTTTAGCATGTTCACGAACATAAACGAACGAACATGAACAATGTAATTTGTTTGTTAAAGAACGAACATGAACAAGAAAACTCGTTCGTTTATCCATTCGTGTTCGTTTATTTGTTCGGCTAACTTAAACGAACGAACATGAACAAGCCCTGTTCGTGTTCGTTCGGTTCGTTTACAGCCCTAGATAGAGGCAGAGCTGTTAGCGTGTATCGCAGGTGTAACACCAAAAATTTTAGACCAATTTTTTTCATTTTTAAAAACTTCCAAAAGCATAGTTTCACAACCAGATCAATTACAAGTCATCTCAAAACCACAAATGTCATGGTTATTATAGTACATAAAAGATCATGTCCCAGT